GGCTAAATATTTAAGTTCTAAAGTACTTCAAATCTGAATTCCACTTACTAAGAAAAAAAAAAAAAACACAAAACCACAAAGCAGAAAGAAACCTTACTTGTATGAGGTCTAAAATACCCAGCTCACTTTCTGAAGAATCCACACAGAAGACAAAGTACAAGGTGGCATAGTGTCGGTAAATTAGTTTGTTATCAGATCCACCTATTAATCTAAACAGGAAAGAAAAAAGGAAAGCTGAGTTAGCATCTCAGGATAAGCTGGACAAATCCTCAAAGATATTTCAGTTAATAGAAGGCCTATTGTTAAAGCCTGGACCATTCCCAAGTCCAAGTATATCACAAACACTTTTATTTTGTGATATAATTCCAAAAGCCAGTTATACTTACCACACACAAACAGTTATTATTATCCATATGGATAACACAAATATAAGAACCTTTTTATTAAAATCAGTTCATGCAGATCATAAACAGGTATTAAATGGACTTCCATTCCACACCAGCACGCACTGTCCAGTGATTAATCTACTTTACAGATTAACAGAGTGTATGCCTATGAATCCTTTCCTACCCTTCTCAGAGAAGCACCAACAGAAAAAGAAAACTGTAATGGAGATTGGCATTTGGATTACAGAAAAAGCTTTAAATTGGGTTTGTGATCCACTTAATAACCAAGAAAATGCAATACTTGTGCTATAAAATGTTTCATGTCCTGAGAAATAAGACTGTACTGCAACCAATATTTTATGACGCAATGTTACAGTCACAGAAACAATTATATTTTTATGGACTCACTAATTGTCAAGTCACTGAACAAGACAAGGTCTCAAGAGGTATGTTCTTCCAGTCCTCTGCTACATCCTTCCCAAAAAAGGCACTTAAATAGGAGATCTATATCAGCTCACTGACATTTGTTTTGAGCTATACGAGGTCTGCTCATATAGAAATGAAAACATTTTTAGGCTGAACCTACATGGCCATGAACATCGTAATTATTCCTTAATTCTGTACCAGAAATGAATCACTGGTACCATAACTCATCCCTTTACTTTCTGTCTCTGTCATAGGGAAAAAATACAAATAAATAAATAAAAATAAAAGTGCAATAAATCTTACAGATCGTTTTGCTTAAGCACATTAATGCTTGGCAGGGATTGGGAGTTGGGGCAGTGAAGGGAAGGGAAATCCTTCCTTCCTGAAGGGCAGAAACTACATTTACATATCATACAAAAATATTACAAATAAATAGGAAATTGGAAAGAAATGGCAATTAAAAGTTTACTCTTTTATGACTTATGTACCCAATTCTTTCAAATACTTCAGTACACACAGTTCTACATAAAAACTGTTGCAGCCTCTGGGTAAACTGCAAACTATAAAGTGATCCCTTTCTCCTCCCTCCTAAAAAAAACCAACTGGAAAAAAATACTGAAATTGTAACCCCGGAATTTAGCAGTAGGAGGAAAGCCAGACCTGTGTTCTCTGTCTCAGTTTATTTTTACTGAGCAGCTGTGATTTTTTAAAAAGCTCCAAATGGCTTCTGTCTTTCACTTACAGAACTCAAGCCAGCATGTTTCCAACTTGAAATCATCTCTAATAACCTTATGATAAAATCATCATATCAACGACTGAATAGTTAGGAAAGAACAATTTCAATTTAAAATATAGTAATAAAAAGAACCCAGGAATCATCTTCATCAAGAAAAAAGACATCATAGCTGACATGCTACAGCTAAGCATACAACCTACTCTGCACACAGAAAATCTAAATGTCAGCAGACTAACTTTCAGTAACCATAAATTTCCATAAACAGAATATATAACAGACTATGATAATCTCTGTCACACACTGGAGATCATAAGCTTTCTCCACCCATTATGACCCCTTTATCTAGAAGGTGGCTTTTAAACTATTTACTCTTGATGATTAATAAATATCTCAAAATAAATCACATCTTCGTTTCAGAATTTTTTCACTTCAACTAAAGCAAGACCACTTTCAAAAAACCACCCAGATGATTCAAGAAAGAATATTTTGTGTCTGTCTTCTAGAAACAGAACACATATGTCTGGCTTTTCTCTTACCTTGCTTTTCCTATATTAATTAAAAAGCTTGGTTAGCACATATAAAACCTATTTTTTTTCTTCCTGGTTTATACAGCAAGTCCAAATGCTGATAAAAAGGCTAAGGAACCCTACTGTTAGAAGCTGTCCACTCAAATTTTAGGAGTTCAAGCTAAAGCAGCAGATCCAAAATACATTCATTTTCTCAGTGGGTATGGCAAAGGCCAATGCCTCTTAAAATGAGACCAGAAAACATTAGCTTGATTATAGGTAAACATCATCTACCTGTTCCTTCCCCATCTTTGTGTCTGAAACAAAGTTGCATTAGATATGGGGCTGTGTCAGTTACAGCATTAGAAAAAGAGCAGCTTTATTGCCTAACACATTTGGATACCTATATCTATACTTCAGTTACTAAAGAAGATGTACAGCTGGTGCATCAGTCTTTGCATATTAAAAAATGTAACACGGCATTTACATTACAGCTGTAAAAAGTTATATTACAATCAGCAGTAATAACACTTGAAAGCCAGTATTAGGCATTTTTTTCAAAGTTGATACTTACAGTCCTCCTTCTAGAAAATTACAGACATTTTCATCACGTTTTGATACTAAATGGAAAGTTTCTCTGATAATTTGTTGCTGTGTATCTTCACTCTAAGAAAGAAAACACACTTTGCTAAAAAGGACTGACAAAGCAGAGCACACACAACTAATAAACACAGAGTGTATCAGCAGCTTCAAATTACCTACTCCTGAAGGTTCAAATCTGCCAGTTAACAAGATGCATATTGTTTTTCTCATTTCAACACAAAAAGCCATATTTACAACTTGCAGAAGAATGTATTACTGAGAAACAACTGTGGAAAAGTGACTGTTTTTAAGAAACTTCCTTAAAAAGTTGAGATTTGCCTCCAGTACTGGTTCAATTAACACTAAAGAATGCACAAGTTTAAAAGGTCCATAAATAAATCTGTCTTATTGAAATCCCACACAAAAACACAAACAAGGCAATTGCACCTGTTTCTGTGCACCACAAAGCTTCAGGGAAATCATTTAACGCCAAAATTTCTTAATTTCAATTGCTATTCACATTTTCAAAATTTCTAAGCATTCAGTTTATACAAACATGTTACCCTACTCTAAGCACTGAGAATTTGTTCTAAGTCCATTTATGAAAGTAGTAGAGCAGAATGGTTTTAGGAGAAAAATCTGGTATCCTCTGGCCATTTATTTCTCCCTTTCTCCCTTCCCCTGCTTCTTCTCCCTTCCTGGACTCTTGTGTACACAACAGTAAGAGAAGATAGAAAGAGTCAATTGCATTTGAATGGAAATGAGAATGGAAATAATTTATGTATTAATACGAATTTACCTTTCTAAAGTCTTTCATCTACATATTTAATTGTTAGCTGCACACTGAGGGGGGGAGGGGAAAGGGGGGAAAGAGAGAAAGAAAGAAACTTATTAAGTTACTGTAGCTCCGCAACTGAAGTTATCAAGAACAGAGCGGGGGCACAAGGGAATGCTTATCTTTATGTGCAGGTGAGAATATTCCATTCTAATTTTTAAATTTGAAATGGTAAACTAAAGACATCTACGTGGCAACTGAGAAAAAAGAAAATAGATTCACAAAGCTCTATTAAAATTTCCCAATATTGGCTAAGAAAGGACTAAATTCAGTCATGAGTAGGAATGGCCTGTATCAGCTACTCTCCTTCAATTCAAAGCCTGACTGCAAACTGAAGTGTGACAGTCACCATTTCTGCTTTGAGGTGCAGAAGATACATCTGCTCCAATGAACTGTGACTGTAAGTAATTTTACTACTGAAAAAATAATAATTTGCATATATAACTCTTAGAAGCACCAATTTTTCTCTTCTGTTTTAATGCCCAAGGTCAGACCAAGCAGACCTTCGCCTATTTGCTGGGAAATACAGAATGTTCAAAACATTACATTAAAATTTCTTATCCTTGAACTAAATCAACAGTTTCCACATTGTTTCTCACTTCCCTGAGGCTGCGCTTTCCTTTCATTCAGATCAAGTGCTTTGTGCTGCATTCTCAGAGCTGCTTTGCTACTTGTTTTCTCCCATGCAGAAGAATACTTTTTTCTATTTCATCACATTTTCATGTCAACTGTATTATTACAGCGCACTGAGAGTTTCCAAAGGAAAAGGTTCTGCCAAGTGAACCTGTGAGTCCCAACAAACTCATCTCAGACGTTCTGACCGCTCTGCAACAGCACAGACCCACAGCACATAAGGCTGAAAACACAGCTGCGTTCAGAACAGCAGCTCAGAGCCAGGTCCGCCACCGGCTGAAACTCCCTGCCTTCACCTCTGGAGCTGTCGAAGGGTCATTCCCAGTGGGAACACCATAGGCTGGGGGAACAGCTTTCTTCAAGGCCTCGTTCTCCCGGTCTCAGCGCCTCCCCATCCCCCCCCGGCGCTGCCCCGGGCCCAGCGCAGCCGGCAGGGCCGGGCCGGCCCGGGTATCCCGGTGTGCGATCCCCGGTCGCCCCGCCCCGCCCCGCCCCGCCCCACTCCGCCCGGCCCGGCCCGGCCCGGCCCGTACATAGCGCTGGTAGAACTTGGAGAGCCGCGGCTTGCCGTGGTTGTTGAAGATGAGGATGGCTTTGATCATGGTGGGGCGGCGGCGGGGGCCGGGCCGGCTGCGCGGTGCTGTGTCCCCCTCCCTTCCTCTTCTTATTCTTATTCCTGTTCCTGTTCCTGTTCCTCCTCCTCCTCCTCCTCCTCCTCTCCCTCTCCCCACGTGGCCGGGGGGATCGCGCGCGCACCACGTGCCGGGCGAGGCGCGGCTGCTGCCGGCGGGACGCCTCGCGCCGCACGTGACGCGCCCGGCGTGCCCACGTGACGGGAAAGCCGGTGGCGCCTCGTCACTTCCCGCCGCCCGCGGAGGCGGAGCTGCCGCCTCATCATGGCGGAGGCGGAGGAGCTGCAGCAGCAGCCGCAGAGTGCCGGCCGCAGCGACGGCGGGGAGGAGGCCGCGGAGGGCGGAGCAGCGGCAGCGGGGGCCGCGGAGCCGGGTCCGCCTGCGGCCGGATCCCCGGGCACCGAGGAGCCTGCAGGCGACGCCAAGAAGAAAAGTAATGGGGCGGGGGGGCCGCCGGCGGGGCAGGCGCGCGGTGACGAGCGGGCGCACCGGCCAATGGGCGGCGGGGGGCGGGCGGAGCGGGCCAATGGGCGGCGGAGGGCGGGCGGAGCGGGCAAATGGGCGGTGTTGGGGGCGGGCCCTGTGTGACGTGCCCTCCCCGCAGTTGACGTGCTGCTGAAGGCCGTGGGCGACACCCCCATCATGAAGACCAAGAAGTGGGCGGTGGAGCGGACCCGCACCATCCAGGGCCTCGTGGACTTTATCAAGAAGTTCCTCAAGCTGATGGCCTCCGAGCAGCTGGTACGGGCGGGAGCCGGGCGGATGTTGTCATACCCTGCAGGGACACTGCTGGAATTCCAGGCTGCAGCTTCCTGCAGGAAGCTTGTAGGAAGTGCACCAGGAGAACTGTCTCAAGTGTAGCACTGAAGGGAGCTGTGGCAGTGCAGCCTGGGTGTGCTAGCTCTGACCTTTGGGCTTTTTTATCCATTTCTCCGTGTGCGATGCTGCTGGGCAGAGCTGTGTGCCCGCTGGGCAGCGCTGCATCCCAAGGAGACATTCCTGTGCACAGTGCTCCTGTGTGAGTCAGCTACACGGGTGTGGTATCTGGAAAAATGTCCACAGTGTTTGTCACTGACCTTCTGAACACAAGTGTCTGTTTCCTTCAGAACGTACACCTCAAACAGTTTAATTACTGTCATAGGACAGTTTGTCTTTTAAAATGGGTGGCTGGGAAGTGCTCACAGATGGGCAGCAGATTGCCAGTATTATCTATGGGTTGCTTCCCATGGAACCCTTCACAAGCCCAGGTGACCTTGTGATAACATTGGAAGGGCTGGAAATACAATTGCACGACTTCTGTTGTTTTATTCTTAACATCTGTAAACTTCAGAGTTTTAATTTAAGATATGAGGTTAAAGCTAGACTCATTAAAGTAGCCAACTAAAGTGTAAATGAGATTGTTCTGTTCTTGGTCTGCAGGGTCTTCTTTAAATATGTAGCCATAAAGGATTTCACTAGCCTTCTCTTTCACCTGGAAATCTTGGCGGGTTTCGTTTTCCCAAGGCTTAGTATCTCAGAGAAGAGTTATAGTTCAGGAATAAACTGTTCATGGATATTTTCAACAATTTGATTCACTAACTGTCATGTCATTATCGGGGGGGGGGGGGAGAAAAAAAAAGGAGCACATAGCCTTCCTGTGTGGTTTCAGGAGCAAAGCCATAGGAATTTTATAGCTGTTATTTGGGAATAGCATATGATGACCCACTACCTGTTGCTACCTTGCACTGCAGATCGAAAGGCCCTTTTTGACACTGTGGACTCACTATATGTGTAAATGCATTTGGAGCAGGAAGTAAGAAGGATGACCTGAAAAAAGAATAAAATAATTCTAATTGAGCAAATCTGGAATAGTGTGAATGATTTGGATGCTTGAAATAGGAGCATGAACTAAGCCAGTGAGTTCACTTTGTGCTTCTGTATGGGAGACTAATGGGTCACACTTGGCAGGAAAAGGAAGTCAGCACGCTTGCTTTGGCTTGGTCTGGTTGGCCACACAGAGGTGACTCCTGGAAGTCGTATTGCCCCTGCACACTGAAGAGAAATAGTAATTGGGTGTGTTCTGGTGTGTGTTGTAAAGATTGTAAAAGAACTTCTGACTGCGGAATGTTTCTTCCGTGTTCCTTATGAGATAAATGTGAGATCTCCATCACTTCTCTTTTGCTTTGTTGCAGTTCATATATGTAAACCAGTCTTTTGCTCCATCTCCAGACCAAGAAGTTGGGACCCTCTACGAGGTGACTTTCATCTTAAATAACCTTTCCAAATGTGTTTAGCGGGATTTGTCAGTATGCTTCCAGCACTTGAAATCTGTTACTGCCCTTAGCAGTAATACTGTCTATTTAACTTAGTGTAGTTGATATTCACAGATCTATGTGAATATGATCTAAAGAGATTTGACTTCACACAGCCTCTGGAAATGCATTCCTTCACATGCAGTATGTTGGCATGCCTCCTGTTATGACGGAGAGCTTTCTTACCTGTAATTATATTCCATGAGACACTTTACCTGATGGGAGGGGGTTTGTTTCATGTAGATGCTAGCCCATGAATAAATTTAACATCTCATGTTTTTGTGTTTTCTTGCAGTGTTTTGGAAGTGATGGCAAGTTAGTACTGCATTACTGCAAAACTCAGGCATGGGGATGAACGACAGGCAATAGAGTTGTTCAGGTGTTCTCTTCAAAAAGGGAAAAAGGGACTAACTGTCTTAAACTCAACCTGTAAACACATGACAAGAAGGATTTTTGCATTTCTGCTTGTGCCTGTATGATGCAGGTGAATAGCATAAGCGAAGATCTACTTAGGCTGTCTGATCACGTGGCTTCTTTCTGGTGTACATCTGAGGTGCAGAGAAAACACCTGCGGTCTGTACAGTAGAGCCAGCTCTCTTGCTGCTGACTTCTTAATTGCTGTATTTGAAGGGAAGCTATTTCAGCTGTCTGGAGGATTGACTGGACACCTGTATGCTGTATTGAAGATAAAAGTACCTTTTTTATTAAAAGTGATGTGTGTTGTACATATAGCCTGGGGTTCAGTTTACTTCTGACATGTGCATTTGTTACGTGCATTCTGAATATGCGTTATCTCATGTCATTTCAAGACTGGTTTTTTTTTTTCCTCATGATGTGTAGGTATTGGTATACAGTCTGACTACTTTACTCTGTACCTTCCTAGTGTTGGTAGTGTCAGCACCTCATCATTTACACGGCACAGCATAAGGATAGGCCTCAAAATACGTTCCTCCCGCACTAATCGCATAGTGATTTATTGAAGTCTGAATGCTTCAGCAGCTGCCAAGGTATTTCTTCTGACACTGTTTAATAACTTGCATCTTTAGTTAAATGATGCAACTAGCTGTTGCATCTTCAGTTAAGAGACAAATAGACATGAGGTGCTAAAAACCTACTCTATATATCCTCATTTTGTTTGGTGTAATTCTCGTGTTTCACCAGATGCATGGTCCACCAATGAAATAGAATGCACTTTACATCCTTTTGCTAAGTCATGACAACGTGGCTTGGTTTGGGGTTTGTTCCATCATGGAGAGGTCTTGGTACCTTTACTAGGGTACTGACCTTTGCTTTTATTTGTTGGAGGGTTTGGGTATGAAAGGTGGGAGGTTCGTGGGTTTATTTTAAATATCCGTGTTACAGTCTTTAATGTTTGTTTAAGCTGAACTAAATTAAATGTTAGTTTGCTTGCATAATGTTCTTAGGCTGGATGAATTTTGATCCATGACGTAATCCAGTTCTTCAGCACACACAGACAAAACAGCCTGTTCCAGTTTAAAGGATGTTTTCACAGTAGTCTTGAACTGTTCACTGCTGTTTCATACATAACTGGCTCTTATGTGGCTCTGCAACCTGTGTGTCCACCCTCAGAGGACTTAGGGAGAACTAACACTCAGCTTACCTTCCCAGTGTTGCTGCAGTTTGCACGCAGCATGCCATGTGTGCCACAGTTACACAGACACATGCCCTGCATCCTTGCTCAGTGTATTCTACCGTCCTTTAAGTGGAAAACCTGGATTCACTGGGTTAAGCTAACAAGGCAGAATTGGCTGTAAACTTAAAACTTCAAATAATCCATATTTTTCCCTGCTCATAACCTGGATCTCATAAATCTCCATTTGAGAGAATTATTGCAGAGGTAAGCACTCTGATTCTGCCTTGTGGAGGAAATTGCCTGCTCAGGTACTTTGAGGACAGCACAACCTTGCCAGCCACTAGAGGGTACACGAGGACAAAGGTATTTACATAGTTTTTCCTAGATTTTTTTTATTTCAATCTTTTTCATAGCATGTCCACTTGCTGTCCTTACAAATATAAATAGTCTGTTCTCCCACGTGACCCTATGTTTACCTAAGATAAGCTACTAGTCTGGTTCTCTTTGAAGAATGTTCTATTGGTACCTTTCACCTCACTTGATCTTAACAAATGAAACTACTGATAAACTGCAAATGTGCTTTTCAGAAGTGATGCAACAAGGTTGGGGGATGTGTGTATTTGGTTGGTTGGTTTGTGTGTATTTGGGAGGGTTGTGTTTTGATTTGGTTTTAAAATAATAAAAACACAATAAGATCTTGAAGAAGAACTGTACGTCATTGTATCATGCCAGCTAAAGGTCGAACATTGTGATTCATGTTGAATCTATAGATAATTTTTATTCTCTGAAGTTGAATAAAAAAAACCTTTTACCACGATTCCTTGAAATGTCATAGTCCAGTAATGTAAAAGCCACAGTAATGGTTTGGATTTCTTTTGTTCACCACATGCATTTTTGGACCTGGTTAACTTTTTCATGAAGATTTGAATTATTATTTTATTTAAGATTCATCTTGTTCCTTGAGTAATACTTACTTATTACTGCTTACTCCAGCATTTTTTCTGCTCTTAATTTTTCTCCAATCCCAACTGATTATTTCTTGGTCCTCCCTCAATGCTTTTAAGTGGCTGCCTTTATTCTGTTGCTTTTAACAACTGCCAGTTTGAGTTCTACTAATTTCCCCCATCTAACTTCTGTACCTTCTTTACATAGACAGTCCTGCTTTTTGCCACTTTTTCCTCTAGTTTTGTACCTTCTTTCATCATAGTCAGTGCTTGTTTATCTCTGGTAGCTCTTTAAGAACCATGGGCTCTCTCTGCCTGGACTTAGGGTGTGACTGTTTTAAGTGGCAGAAACTTTCCCTTGTTCATAATTTTAAGTAACAGAATAGACTGCAAATGTGTCAAGTAGGTAATGTGTCAAGTGAACAAATAAGTGATTCCCAGTAAGCTGCTCGTAGAATTTGCAAAAGACAAAGGTTGCAAAATACATGTTAAATTTCCTCTTTTAGAAAGTGACATTATAGCATCTAAAATCACAGATGATCCTGAAATTCTTATATCTTTAAAAATAGTATTTCTAGTAAATTGAAAACATGAAAAGCTGAAATAGAACATGAACTGGATTTGGTATGAGCAAAAGTTGTGACTATCCTTTAAGTGATCTCAATTGCTAAAGTGGGAGAAAAAGGATGTGAAAGTAAGGGCTGACTCTTACACAAGTCTGTGAGAATTGTACAAGACAAAAAAAGTGTAGATGTACTCAGTATTGTGTTCCACCCGAAGATGCTACAGCACTGAACTGCCAATATTTGTAATGTAATTTAATTCACTTGATTTTCTGTAATTGAATTAACAGAAAGGGCATATTGGGAAAATTCAGTAAATAGACTAATTTTTAAAGACTGAGAAGTAAATAAAGTATTGTAGAAGAAATTTTTTATACTGTTTTTAGGAAAGACTTCACAACATCCTGATACTAAATAATAGTACTATGCAAAATTCAGTTATCCTATTTCAAGTTAATAACCACCAGGTTCAAACCCTGTAAACTGGGAGGCATTATTTATATGTCTGCTGTAATGGTTTAGAGACTAGCATTAATTATAAAATTGTAACTTGTAGCTTGAACTAATCCTAAAAGCACACGGAAAACGTAAAGGAGCCAAATGAAACTAAAGTTACCTCAGGAGTGAAATTATAAAGTACATAGTCATGTCACCTATGCACATACTGATTAAGTGTCATCTTTACTTTCAAGTCTCCAAAAACTACTGCTAAGACTTTAACAGAGCATATGTCTCTGTTAATTATTCCCACAACATAATCTCGAATGTAGGGATCTACAGTAAATTCAAGGTGGTACGCTGGAAATTCACAGGTCCATTCTTCAAAATCCTTCTCAACTCCAAAACGGCTTCTGTTTACACATTGTTGATATTCATGCTCATTTTGCAGATCAAATTCTGCCATTTTTTGCACAAGTTTTTGGCTTATGTTGTTCTTGACTACTCTGAAGTTGCAGTTACTCTTCAGGGATGTTGCACAAAGGTTATTCAAGGCATTATTGTACTACATTTTCATCTTGGAGATGAAGGGGAAAAAAGGTACAAAAATGCCTTCAACTCTGGGGTTTTCGTGATGATTATAACTATTACAAGCTTGTATAAAATGCAACATGCATTAAAAGTTAAGTGTTTTCAGCCTAGTTTTGCATTGGATCATCAAGAGAAAGAAACTTGATCATCAACTTGACAAGAAAACAAGCAAAATGTGTTTCTTTTTTGCAGAGACCATGCTTCAGCTTTGCTAGCACTGTATTTAATATGTTTCCAAGGATAAACATTATGAAAATCAACATATTTTTCTTGTCCTTGCTTTGCTCTTGCTTCAGTAGCCATAATGCCATGAGATGTCCGGTGCATCTCACTGTATTTTAGTCAGAAGTCTTTTGAAGCTAAAATATTTAGGGAGGCTAAAACTCATTTAGAGATTGTTTCATCGTAAAATGGAAGGTTAAGAAAGGTTGAATGAATCAGCTATTGACTAAGGAGAGACCAAAATAAGTATGTTAAAGGCTTAATGTCAAGCCTGTCACACTGCATCTATGTCACTAGACTTGGTAGTGCCAGGAGATTTTCTGGGGCACTGTAGCTCAGTCATCTGTACAGTTAGTTGTTAGAACAGTTGCTGGCACAGATTTTTGCCTGTGCACAGTTCGAGAGTTGGCAAGGTACCACTCCTGGTGGGCACTTTGGACGTGATCAGCCTGCTGTGGAGCTTGAGAGGTAAATAATGTGGATGTGAACTGTCCTTTGCAAGCTGGCCTCTGTGCCAGGGATCAGTCCTTGGAGTACTTGTTGCTAGGTACACAGTGCTGATTTCAGATGGGATTTGATCCCTGCTATGCACACTGAGAAAAATTAAACTTTGGGAAGAAAAGCAATTGTCACTCTTAAAACTTCAGGAGCAATCTAGGAACTTTTTTTTGACAAACACTGAAGCCTTAAGGCAGTCCTTTTTAAATGACTTGCCAAGGGAAATTAATTTTTTTTAAGCTTTCTTTTTTCTCTCTGGAAGAGATTAGTGCGTGCATTCTTGTAATAGTTTCAGGGTTAGAGGGAAAAGGACGGTGCTAGAGTTGCCCCTACCTTCTGGTGAAGTCAGGTTGACGAGGCCCAAATCCTGACACCGGGATGCTACACTCCAAGCGTTTGGCCAACGCAGATCCCAACACCTTCTGCAATGAAGTTGCCTCCTCTTCACGGGGGTCAACCATGCCTGACGTTGGATCGCCATGTGACGAACGTTGAAGGTGGATAGGGAGAGGAAACCCCAGGCAAGAGATTTTTCCTTTTACCCCTAGTCCTGGAGGGGATCGGTGCTCCCTCCCTTCCCCCTACCCACGTGGAGCCCCATGGCCTCCAGAGAGACCACAGGACACCAGCATCAAGCAGGGAGAGCAGGCAGAGAGCTTTATTGTTCTGGTAATTGCTTAAATACCTTTGGGGGGATTACAGTGTAACTAGTGGGAGTCTAGGAGGTCTTACAAACCAACCAATTACAAGAAAGGGTTAACAACCAGTAGATGAGCTTCCAGTTATCTCTTAGACATTCCGAAGATACAGGTAAGAGTGAGGAATCTTGGGAAGGAGAAGGGTTTACACAGAGAGTTACAGAGCCATTTTGGGAGCATGTTCACTTTAACAACGTTAAAACTTCTGCATTCTTTTATATACTGCAACATTTTTTGAATGGTTCTCGAGTTTTCCTCAATGCAGTTGTCTCTAAATGCCTACCAATAGCTACATTCAGCAATATTTTTTATTAAGGATGCAGATTATAGATGGTGATGAAGTACTACCTGTACGTCTAAATTCACTCATACTTTTCTTTATTAAAAGTAGATGATGAACATTCTTTAAAAAAAAAGAAAAAAAGTAAGTGTAAGAGTCTTAGCAATCTTGCTTTGTATCATCCTATGGAATATTTTCACATGCAAATTATTTATATGTGTCTGTATATCAATTAAACTTGAGACAATACAGTGTTAAAATATAGTTCCATTGAGGGTCTAATCTTAAAAAAAAGGCTGGAGTTACATATTCCAATTGCAAAAATCCATTGCAAGTATATGACATTAAAGCAGACAAAAATGTCTTTCCCTCAAGCTCAGTTTGGTAACAGAACTAATAACCCTAGCAGCTCTTGGGAACTAAAACACATTAAGAGCCCTTCAGCTCTGAAACAGGAAACCTCAAAGGAAAAAAGGGCTCCAAACAAAACTACACAATAAATATTGCCACTGCAGTGAAGGCTAGGCAGCACTTTAACTTTCTCATATAAATATCACAACTGAAAGAAACAGCAACTTATTTTC